TTCTCCCATGATTGCTAGACAGGACACTATCATGCTCAGAGCAATACCTGCTGGTGAGAGGCTGGCATTGACATTATGCTTTCTGGCAACAGGTAAATTCATGCCGTTGACTGGTTCAAATATTTAAAATATACTATACGTATAACAAAATAGGGGTATCCTACTCAACTCTCCAATATTTTTATAGAATACCATCCCAGACAATTGGAAAAGTAGTAATTGAAACATGACATGCAATTTATGAAGTAACGATTACTTAATGGTACTTCATAATAATGAATATATGGAGCTCAATCAGTATTCAGTAATATAAGTGTAACGTTTCACAAGCTATTACAAATGTTTAAACCACATAAGACACATTTGAGGACTCCCCATTGCTAAGGTCTTGGGTTCGTATAGATGATGTTGGAGACCTAAATGATGGTGCATGCTGATACGGATAGTTAAAGGGACACCAAAGAGTCTGATCCATGTAATACATTCTGAATTTTCCATTTCAGCAATTTTTTGACTTGGTTATCTTCAATTGATCGTAATTCCGTTGCAACAAATTGACAAGAAATCTAATCTGAATCTTGTTTAACGGTAACTATTTTGCTGATCCCTGTTTCCATGCATTCAATAGTTTTCCAAGAAAGCCTCCTCTTTACCTTCTTTTCTTCTCCTTTTTGGTGTAACTAATGGCTCATCATTTTTTCTTTTTTTTTCTTCATCACTCACTGCAACAGTATTTTCTATTTGTAAATCTTCATCTTGTGATATGTATGTGTAACAATTAAAAAAATTTTAATTTGCATTCTAAGTACCAAAGACATGATTAGAATGGAGACAAATAGTAGAGCAGTTTGACAGTAGGTGGAATTTTCCACACTGCTGTGGAGCTTTAGATAGGAAGCACGTCAATATTATACCACCTGCTATTAGTGGCTCCTACTACTATAATTTCAGGAAAGTTTTAGCATTGTCCTCATAGCACTTGTTGACGCAGATTATTAGGCGAAGCCCACTAGTTTGAGTGGGGTATGTTTGTTTGTACACGTATATCACCTCTATTTATGCGTATGAAAAATATTCCTACTTTAATAACCTCTTAATCTTTTTTGAAAACGGGTGTGGTCACTGTGAAATAAAATGGCGCCAGCTATTAATTCTTCATTGTTCTTCATGTTCTTGAACTTAAAATTTACAAGTTACTCACTTGAGTCAGCAGAGAAGTCTCTACTACTTTCCAAATACAGCAAGGAAGATTAAGAAGGCAGATATGTCACAGTTGCGAGCTTGTAAAGCCTCCACAACTATTGACATAACCGTCTCTAGCTTCCAACACAACTTTTTTGCTGCAGAATGTGATAAACTAATGAAGAAAATTGGTATTTTGAAGCATGATAACTTCAATACAAACTTACAAACTACTGTATTTACTCATGTACATGTACAATAATGTAGCTCTA